TCTAGATTCAACAGATTTTGTTTTTATGAGATGGAAAGAGCATTTTCTCGTGCCAGATCATACAATTAAAGATATAAATGGTGCCAGCTTTGCTGGCTTTTACTACATTTGCTTTCAAAAATCTACAGCAACTATTGAAGGGTATTATTACCACAGAAGCTCAGAGTGGTAAGTGTTTTATTTATATTTTTTAAAAAAAAAAAAGTTTACAGTTTATGTTTAATTTATTTCACGATTCGACAACTTATAAATATAAAAATGTCTACGTTTATTTCTATTCATTTTAATTATTGTGAGTAAAATATTTTTTATAATTTTTTTTTCAGGTATCAGTCTTTAACTTTGACACATGTACCTGAACACAGCATTCAGATTTACGAGTTCAGATAAAACTATTAAAACAAACAAACATATCGTTGGTTTGAATTACTCGTGATACCTCTACACTTTAAATTACTTATACAATTTTTTTTTTTTTTTGGGCTTTTGTACTTTTTATTTATTTTCTTTAATAATCCTTTAAATTTTATTATTTTAATATTAATTTTTTTTTTTTTTTTTTACTTTTTAATATTAAAATCGATTATTATTATTATTTTTTTTAAATGTATCTTTTACACTACTGGCATTTTTTCATTAAATTTAAAAAAAAAAAACTGTACTATTTACTGGTAAGTTATTAATCATAAAGTGCGTTTAAATTAAATTTTATTCAAAATACACTTTTTGAAAATAATTTAATTATAATAATAATAATAATGTTATTTTTTACTATTTAAAAATAATATTTAAAATTTATAATATAAAGAGTTTGTTTTATCCAATCATATTTATATATTATTAATCCAAAAAAAAGAAAAATAGAAAATTGTTTATCTCTCTCTCTCTCTCTTCTTTTTTACTTTAAATTTAATTTTTTTTAATCATGTCTGTATCGATTTCTTTTTATTGTTAAAACTAAAATTTACTGTTTAAAAAAAAAAAAATTATCATTTGAACAAGCCCAAAGAAAAAATTATAAAAAAAAATATTTTGTCGTTTATTTATATCGACAATTTTTATACTTATGTGAATAATTCACTGGGTGTGAATTCTTACCTAAAACTATTTTCTAAAAAAAAAATTTTAGTTTAAATTATTTATTGGTTAATATTATTATTATTATTATTATTATTATTTCTTTTAAATTTATCATATTTAAAAGGTTTTTCAATAATTTTTAATTGATGATGATTTTTTTATTATATCACGGAGTATTTTTCTAGTTTAAACACTGCCGCGTAAATATATATATATACCTTTTATTAAATTAAATAAAAATGTTTTTTTTTTATTAAAATCATTTTATTAATTTTTAATTGGTTATGATATATGTTAAATATTAAATCATTTTTTTTTTTTTTTTTTACATAATTTTTAAACCGAACAAATTAGTAGTTTTGCTTTAAATTGTTTTATATATTTAATAAAAATTCTTTTTTTTTTTTTTTTTTTATAATAAAATAATATAAAAAGATTTACATAACAATTGCAATATTAATAATTTTTTTTTTTATAAAATAAATAATGTTTATTATGTAAAATGTTTTTTTTTTTTTTAATCGAAATTTTCAATAATAATTAAAAATTAAAAAAATAATATTAATAGGATTTTTTTTATTTAAGGTAAATTTTTCAAATAAATTTTAAATTATAAAAAAGGGTAATAATTATTTTCAAAAAAAAAAAAAAAAAAAAAAAAAATTTTCCCCAAAGGGGAAAGTTATTTAAAAAAAATGTTTTTAATTATAAAAGGGCGTATTTAATTTTGGGAAAATTTTTACATTTATAATAATAATAATTAATAATAAGGTAATTACACTCAGAGTAAATAGCTTTAAAAATTTAAATTTTAAATCATGTATGACGTTTATGAATGTTATGAATTATTTGTAAATTTTGAATTGGAAAGAATGAATGAATGAATTGTAAAATTGCGTGATGTTATATAATGTTAGTAAAATATTTTATAAATTTTCTTTTTTTTTTTTTTTTAGTTTTTTTTTTTTTTTTTCTTCCAGTTATTTTTTAATTTTTTGCTTTAAAATATATATATATTTTTTTTTTTTACCTACTTTAATCCATCGTGGATTATTATTAATTAATAATTTCAAAATTTCGATTAATTAATAAATTTTTATGTAAAAAAAAAATTTAGGGTAATTATAAACCGGAAAATTATTATAGCCGTGAATATTTTTTTTTTTAATTACGATATAAATACATTCTTTTAAAATTTTATTAATTATTATTAATTTAATAAATAAAAATAATAATAATAATAATTTATTTTAATTCGATAACCGAAAAAACCGTTTATTAAGGAGGTGGGAAGGGGGTTGGGGGAGGGAGGGGGGAAAAAAAAGAAAATTTTAATTTAATTATTTTATGATTAATTTTATGATTTTTGTTTTTAAATTTTCATATCTTTTATTAATAATTATTTAATGCGGATGAAATTAAATAATTAATAAAATTTTTTTATTTTATTTAAATGTTAACGTATTTTACAATTGGGTAAAAATTTAAATTTAAAATTTAAACCGAAAATTTTTATTATTTATTTCACCTGTTGTTAGGTTTTTTTTATTTATTTTCAAATTTATAAACAATTAAAAAAAAATTTTCTTAATCAAATGTTGTAATTTATTTTTTATCGTAATTAAAAAAAATATGTCTTTTTAGTAATTGAAAATAATAATAATAAATAAATAAATAAATTTTTTTTTTTTAATAATTAGTTATTTATGTAATAATTTGTATTATTAATATAAAAAGATAGATACCAAAACTGTACGTTTAAATTATGTGATTTTAATTTTAAGATGTTTAATAATAATAATAATAATAATGAAAAAAAAAGAATGTGAATATTGCCTGTATAAATTATTATTTGATATTGTCAGCTGATAGGTATTATTTATATGTAAAATAATAATAATAATTAAGTACATTTATTGTTATTTATTTATTTAGAAAAAAAATTGTTTCTTTTAGACATTTGTCATTACTATGCCTGTCTCAATAAAATATAATTCAAGTTTTTTTTTTTTTTTTTTATATATTTTAAAAAAAAATTTAAATTTAAATTCCTTTAAATTTTTTTTTAATTGAAAATTTATTTTAGATAAATTAAAATTAATGTATAAACAAATAAAAATTATTTAAAATAGGAAAACGATTGTTTAAGGTTTTAGAATCAGAAGAAAAAAAAAAAATATTAATAATAATAATTTTAATGAAATTCACATCAATAATTATTTACAATTTTTTTTTTTTTTGTTTAAATTATAAATAAATAAAATAAAAATGTACAAAAAATGTTAACATGTAAAAAACAAAAACATAAAAGAAAATTTAAATGATGTAGGGATTGCTTAAAAAATTACTTTTAGTGTCTCTTTGACGTTGATTTAACGTATTTTCTACCTCCCTAAAAAGAAAAAAAAAAGAAAATAAAATTATCAATTTACGTAAAAATATTTATTTAAATATTTCATTGAAAAAAAATAATTTCAATTTTTTAAATTGACATTAAATACTTAATTTTTTGGTCTTTCATGACTGTATCCATACGTGTAATTCCATTTTTCATAAGCCGTAAGTTCTTCAGCTGTTACGCTCGGTTTAATAAGTTGTAGTGCATATAAATAATCATTCATTGTAATTGGTCTAATCTATTTAAAAAAAAAAAAATTCTTTTATTTATAAGCAATAATAATGATAATAACATTAGGTTGTCCCTTGAGTGTCTTCTCTTTTTTGGATGTAGAATGAATACAAGGACCGGAAGAAATTTAAAGGGACAACCTGATAATTTCAAAATGTTTACTTTTGATGGTTGTAATCTTAAAATAGCATCTGGTGATAAAGATTTAACAGGTTCCATTGCAGCTTCTTGACTTAAATTCCATAAATCAGATACTGAGTAACCTTCTGTTTTTTTAACAATTTCACATATGTCACTTTCTTGTAACGAATGACATTCTTTTTGTAAATGTTTCAATAATAATTCTTTTCTATCCTGCATTTTTAAAAATTATCATTTTAAAAATTTTAAAAAAAGTAAAATCGATGGGTAAAATAGACTTACAAAGGAATCTGGCAATGGTATATATAATTTTTTAACGAATCTACGCCTAGCAGCCGCATCTAATTCTTCCGGTTTATTGGTGGCACCAACAACAACAACCCGATCTTCGAGTACTGTAGAAGTACCATCCTTATAATTACATAAATAAATATTTATATTGTAAAAATATTAGCTATTTTCCGTATGAAAGTAGAATAAATTTTTACCATTTGAACAAAAAATTCGTTTTTCATTCTTCGTGTGGTTCCATTTTCATTCGGAGTTCTTTGAGAAAGAATACTATCAACCTCATCGATGAAAATAACAGATGGTTGACGTGCTTTGGCAACGATAAACATCGTTCGAACGAGATTTTCCGTTTCTCCTATCCACTTAGATATTAATGATGATGATGATATGCTAAAAAAGGTAGATTCCGTTTCAAAAGCAATCCATTGTCCTATTAATGTTTTTCCAGTTCCCGGAGGACCAAACAATAATATTCCTTTCGGAGCACTTCGAAGACCTTTAAATACTTCGGGTTTTTTCATTGGCCATATTACGGTCCTCTGGAGAAAAAAAATTTGAATACACGTCAAAAAAGTAATTTTTACGTTAAAGGAAAAATGGGGAAAAATTTTCCAACCCTTATTATTTGTTTTAACATTCCATGGCCAACTATATCATAGATTTTAATTCCTTTTGATGCATCAAAATTTGTCATGGTCGATAAAATTCTTTTATATAATTCAGGTTCAACATTTTCTTTGGCGGTTATTTCATTTTCGAATTCTTGGACACGACAAGTTGGAGTTTTTAAAGCTAAAATCCTTTTAAATAAATTAATTACAATTCATTTTTTTTCTTACGATATTCAAAAACTTTTTAAAAGTTTTTTTGTTATAATAATTTATTATTGATTATATAAAAATAAATTCTTACCTACTTATTTTTTTCGTTTTGGAATAATTATTTTTTTTTCTATCATTTTTAAAATGTTTATCTCTTAGTTTATAATATTCGGATTTATTATGTATGCGACAGTTAAAATTTTTACAAAGGTTTTTATAATGATAAACGATTCCTTTTCTAATCGTCGTATTATTTATACTAAATTTTCTTGTGCATCTTGGACAAAAATTTTTACTTTTTGAATTACTTGATGATAAACAATTTTTAACCATATTATCTTTTTGCTCATTCACTGACATTATATATGCCAATTAATTTTTTGTTTTTATTTTATAAATCAAATTATTTAATTTTTATTAAAAAAAAAAAAGTGTGAAAAAAAAATACTCAGAAATTTTCAAATGAATCATATAATTCCACATAGATTATTTTGAAATTTTTTTTTTTTTTTAAAAATAACTTTTGTTGATGTTTTTTTAACTGTTCCGAAAAATAAAAATAAAATTTTTTTTTTTTTCATAGATTAATAATAAACATTACCACTATTTAAATATTGGGTTGGCAAAAAGGTAATTAATTAACTATGAGGAGGGTGCAACAAAACATTCCAACCTAGCTCCAGTAGTTTTTGTCTGTTGGCTAAAAAAGGGGAGGGCCTGGCATTATCGTGGTGAAAGACAATTCCTTTTCTATTGGCTAGCTCCGGTCGTTTTTCTTGGATGGCATCATTTAAATTCCCACTTTCGCCCATTAAACTCCCACTTTCGCCCACTAAACTCCCACTTTCGCCCATTAAACTCCCACTTTCGTCCATTAAACTCCCACTTTCGCCCACTCGACACCCACTTTCGCCCATTAAACTCCCACTTTCGCCCATTAAACTCCCACTTTCGCCCCCTCGACACCCACTTTCGCCCATTAAACTCCCACTTTCGCCCATTAAACTCCCACTTTCGCCCATTAAACTCCCACTTTCGCCCACTCGACACCCACTTTCGCCCATTAAACTCCCACTTTCGCCCCCTCGACACCCACTTTCGCCCACTCGACTCTCACTTTCGCCCACTCGACACCCACTTTCGCCCCCTCGACACCCATTTTCGCCCATTAAACTCCCACTTTCGCCCCCTCGACACCCACTTTCGCCCATTAAACTCCCACTTTCGCCCCCTCGACACCCACTTTCGCCCATTAAACTCCCACTTTCGCCCCCTCGACACCCACTTTCGCCCATTAAACTCCCACTTTCGCCCACTCGACACCCACTTTCGCCCATTAAACTCCCACTTTCGCCCACTAAACTCCCACTTTCGCCCCCTCGACACCCACTTTCGCCCATTAAACTCCCACTTTCGCCCCCTCGACACCCACTTTCGCCCATTAAACTCCCACTTTCGCCCATTAAACTCCCACTTTCGCCCACTCGACACCCACTTTCGCCCATTAAACTCCCACTTTCGCCCATTAAACTCCCACTTTCGCCCACTCGACACCCACTTTCGCCCATTAAACTCCCACTTTCGCCCACTAAACTCCCACTTTCGCCCCCTCGATACCCACATTCGCCCCCTCGACACCCACTTTCGCCCACTCGACACCCACTTTCGCCCATTAAACTCCCACTTTCGCCCACTCGACACCCACTTTCGCCCCCTCGACACCCACTTTCGCCCATTAAACTCCCACTTTCGCCCACTAAACTCCCACTTTCGCCCCCTCGACACCCACTTTCGCCCACTCGACACCCACTTTCGCCCATTAAACTCCCACTTTCGCCCACTAAACTCCCACTTTCGCCCCCTCGACACCCACTTTCGCCCACTAAACTCCCACTTTCGCCCACTAAACTCCCACTTTCGCCCCCTCGACACCCACTTTCGCCCACTAAACTCCCACTTTCGCCCCCTCGACACCCACTTTCGCCCATTAAACTCCCACTTTCGCCCACTCGACACCCACTTTCGCCCATTAAACTCCCACTTTCGCCCCCTCGACACCCACTTTCGCCCATTAAACTCCCACTTTCGCCCACTCGACACCCACTTTCGCCCATTAAACTCCCACTTTCGCCCCCTCGACACCCACTTTCGCCCCCTCGACACCCACTTTCGCCCATTAAACTCCCACTTTCGCCCATTAAACTCCCACTTTCGCCCATTAAACTCCCACTTTCGCCCCCTCGACACCCACTTTCGCCCACTCGACTCCCACATAGTCGTAAACTCGTTATTCGGAGACGGCGGAGTGTTGGTTCTGCGGTACGCCCGAGGACGACGTCGAACACACAATTGCGACATGTCTCACATGGGACGTCCATAGGCAGCGGTTAGTCGAGGCCATCAGACCCGACTTGTTGATACGCGGTTCAGTGAACGGGTTGCTCCGCGGACCTCGGGAATGGTCCGTGATCTCGCGATTTTCAAAAGCGGTCCTACAGACGAAAGAGGACCTCGAACGCGAACGGGAAAAATTCAGAGTTCGGCGTCGCGCGCTCCAGGGAAGAAGAAAAAAGAAGGAAAACAACGACGGCAGCGGCGGTGAAGAGGAAACAATCAACGCCTGATCATCCGTGGAGTACGGCGACGAACTTAGCTTTCTTGGGGGCTCGTCGATCCCGGACGATCCCTCGTCTGTCTTTTTCCCCCCACAATCCCGTTTACCCTTGTATTAGATGATGCGATCAACTAACACTTAACTTTTAACTTTGCCCTTTTCAGGAGACGACGGTAAGTCTTTATCCCCCACCCGATCGCATTCTCAGGAAACAGGCGAGTTGCCCATCTTTTCCCCCCAGCGAAGGACCGGAGGACACTCCCGAAAGGGACTTGCCGAACGTCCTGGGAAATGCGTTCTCGTCTTCCGAGGTGACGGCGGAACGGAGACTAGGGCGAATCTCCCACCAAAGTAATCGTGTAGAACGGTAACGTTCTGGCTTACCGGAGAGGGGACTGACTGAAATGTAGGTACTACCCCAACGATCGTCCCCCCCCTCTTCATATAAGCCACGCTATTGCGACATGCTCAGGAGTTTTAGTGGGTATGGTTCCCGGTTAGGCCTTCTTTTCGAATTCCATACCGAGCCCCACACTCCCTCTTCGGAGGGGTTGTGCGTAACTTGCATTTCTCCTGAGATATCAAAAAAAAAAAAAAAAAAAAAAAAAAAAACGTTCCCCAAAGTAACGCATCAAGCTTCTTTTGGTACTCAAGACGGTTTTTGATGCACACATCTAGCTTCTTTACAATGTTCTTTGTCGAACTATGCCGATCATAATCAATGAGGGCTTCTATTTGCTCATCAGTGACCTCCTATGAACGCCCAGAGCACTCCTCATTTTTCAAAGGAAAATCTCCAGAACGGAATTTTGCAAACCAGTTTTGACACTGTCGTTCTATTAAGGCTCCATCACCGTACACAGCCCACAACTTTTTACTGGCCTGAGAAGCATTAACACTCTTTCAAAAATAAAAAAGGAAAAATGTGGAGGAAATGCTCGCTTTGGCTCCCCATGTTTAAATGTCTTTTCCTCGCGCACTATTCAAGAGTTGAATGAAATTTTGGTACCGAATGGTACAGAAGGAACCAAATAATAAGCTATCAAGAGTTCATGTCTGTGCAAAAATTTAAACGCACTTAAAAACATGGACAACATAAATGTTGGTAAAATCCGTGATCACTTACTGGCCAACCCAATATTATGCGGTTGGAAAATTTTTTTCTAACACGAAAGCATCCTTAAGGATGAAAGAACCGATTTTTTATTATGATTAGGAAGTCTAATAAATATATTCGTTAATTTATTTTTATTAATTTTTTATTTTTTAAATTGTTTTTTTTTTTTTTTATAATTATTAAATTTAATATACAAATTGTTTATTAAAATATAGCTTTTATTTACAAAAGCTGATTGATTGATTAAACATTTAATTATAAAGAAAAAAAAAAAAAAAAAGAAAAATCACTTTTAAATACTACATAAAAAGTTTTAACTAAATTATTGTAAATATTTTACAAATCAGCCATTTATTTATGATTTACAAATTAATAATAAAATACGATAATAAACTCACATTTTTTTTATACAACAAAAAATTAGTTAGTCACAAATATATAATGTTTTTTTTTTTTAGCTAATTAAAATATCTCATATAAATAAACGAAGGAATTTATTATGTAAAATGGATTAATATAAAAGACATTTTTTTATATATATATATTTTTCAAAAATACTTAAAATACTTATTAAACATATTTTTTTTAAGCTCCAACCTCCATTTGTGGAAATTAAATTTTAAAAAAAAACTTTTTTTCTTTTTTTTTTTTTATGCATGTTTTGTACTGCAAGTCTTGTAAATTTTGTGATTTAATATCTCTTTAAAAAAGTGAGAGCAACTATTATTATTAAATATATATAAAATAATATTGATTGCCATTATTATTTAATTATAAAAATAATAAAAATGAAAACATGATTTAACAACATTTGTCATTAAAAAAATAAAATATTTATTAATTTCTTTTTTTTTTTTAAATGTTGTACAACAATGTTGTACTTGGTTTTTTTTTGTTTATATTGTATATAATTTTTTTAGCACCTTTTCTTTTTTTTGGTATAAAATTGTTGTATTGTAAAAGTTGCCTGTGAAAGAATTTGAAACATTTAAAATGTATACTTAAAAACTTTTTTTTTTTTTTTTTAAAAAAAAAAAAACAAAGTAGAAAATATATGTTGTTTTTAAACTCATCATGTCTGACAATACTTATGGTAAAAAATTATGATACAATACAACTATTTCGTCCAATACAGCTGCTTCTGTGTTCTACTTGTGGAGTTAAAACATTATTCGAATTACTTCCGACAAATTTTAACTTTCTAAAAGTTCCACTTTTCGTCTGTGGTAATACATATCTTGGCAGCATTGACATAGACGAATATGAAGTCATTGCATATGATTTTAAATGAGATTTTATCATTTCAGGAAGAGGCAATTGTTCTATGCTATACACCGTTGTTCTAGCAACAATTGTGCGACAACATAATTCTTGAAGGCTTAAAACTAAATGAAAATAACGATTGATTAAAAAAAGAAATGAAAATTATTTTATTTCACTTTTTAGTAGAACATTAAAAATATAAAAATTACCTTTATTACTTCTTAAAAGTCTTTCCATTCCATTCCTGTGCAATGCCATTCTTGATAGTTCACTAAAACTTTCTCTAATATTAAAGTTACACAAAGGAGACACTTCGAAAAAAGCCATTCTGTTTTTTATAGCATATGCCTCTGCCTCTCTTGCACCTACTTGCCTTTTGAAAGCCAAGTGTAATCTGTTACCGACCAGAACTTTTGGAACTCCAGGTGCATGCTAAAACATAAATTATAAGTTAATATTTTTATATAATGTAAATTTTTGGGGAAAAAAATAAAAGACTTACTTCATCAACTTCTTTTAACCACCTTCCAATTCCATCGAATGACCATTTGTTTGTAATATCGTAAACTAGAAGGATGCCTTGAGCACCCCTTGAATAAGAACGTATTATTGTACAAAATCTCCCTTGTCCAGAGGTATCCCATAACTGTAATTTAACCCTTTTCCCATCCAAAAGAATTGTAGTAGTTTTGTAAGCTAAAAAAAATGTTTTATTTTAAAACTGACTTGTAAAAATAATTATATTTACATTTTAACTTTAACTACTACGACAAATATAAAATGAAATATAATTTTAATGCTAATTTTATTTTTAAAAAATATATATATAACGATTCCTACCACTACCGCTGCAAAACTCTGAGGGCCCGTTTTCTAGCCCACTCAATATTTCTTGTTTTCCCACGTCGCTGTCACCTACTAATAGAAATTTCAGCAAATAATCATATTGTTTTGACTGAGTTCTTGGCTCACAAGCCATAACAAAGTTCTTTGTCTTTTTTTAACATAATAGTTTTTGACACACTCTTTCGATAAATTAAATTTTACTTTGAATAAAATTTTACCAAAAATAATAAATAAGTATCACAAAATTTTTTTTTTTTGTAAAAAATTTACAAATGTCTTAAATTATTTTTACTGTAATAAAATAATAAAAATATTCATCTAATAAATATAATCCACTTCCTGGTCGACAACCTTCATATTGTTTCACAAAATTCGGCCTTTTTATGATACCTGGCAAAAATAACTTACTAAAGAGTGTAATGCCGTTCAGATCTTGACCATTTAAAAAGGCCTTTTAAGAAAAACAGAAACCACCTTAGTGAAATAAATTAGTTTCATAGAGAAAAAAAACAACCCAACTAATATTTCATTTTATGTCTATGACAGGACATAAATATTTTGTTTTAGCATATACAGTACAAGTACATCTTCGAGCATTTAATTTGATTTTAAAAATTCATTATTATGTCTGATGCTTGGGAAGAAATACAAGCTATCAAAACTAAAAGAAATACTTTACGTGAAAAATTACAAAAGAGAAAAAGAGATAGGGAAGACCTTTTGAATTCAAATCTAACAACAAATTTTCAGGATGTATCTACAACAACAAAAAGTAAATTATTACTGGGAAAAGATATTACAGGAATTTCATCCCCGGTGCAATTTAAAGAAGAAACCGCAGACAAAGATGAAAAAGGCCCTTTAGAAATTAAACCCGATCCCGAAATAGAAATTCAAGTTTTAAAAAGACTTTGTGAAGTTTCTTTAATATTACCCACTACCTCGGAACATTTGACTTCTAATATTGCCAAAACGTTAAACGTTGAAGTACAAGAACAAGTTATAATAAATTTATTGCAAAAATTTGCCGCTCAACAATTAATAGTTATTAAAGAAAATTTTAAAGAAAATCATCACAGTTTCGAAATAGTTACTGCAGACCACAGCAAACTCCTTGCCATGGCAAATGAGTATGATGAGAAAGGTAAAAGTGATGTCGAACCTGATGAGAACAATATTAAAAAACGAAGGTTAGATAAGGAATCTGAAGAAGAAAAAAGTGATTCAGTAAAGTCTGAAACCATAAAAGACGATGTTAAAGAAATGAAAGAAATCAATCAATCAGATATAAATTTTTTGTTATCAATGCCATCAATTAAAGAAAAAGAGACTAAAAAAGTGGGAGAAGAAATCATGGATTTATTAAGCAAGCCTACAGCAAAAGAAAGATCTTTAGCTGAAAGGTTCAGATCTCAAGGTGGTGCTCAAGTAATGGAATTTTGTCCTCATGGTACTAAACTAGAATGTCAAAAATCATCTAAGGAACTCTGTAAAAAGTTACATTTTAAAAAAATTATTCAAAGTCATACAGATGAAGCATTAGGAGACTGCTCTTTCTTAAATACATGCTTTCATATGGACACCTGTAAATATGTTCACTATGAAGTAGACAATCCAAAAACTTTAATTAAAGATGGAAATAATAGTAAGGAAGTTTTTGAAAAACCTGGAAGTGCTAGTGTTTCAAATAGAATCGGAACAATTTTATACCCCCCTCAGTGGATACAATGTGATTTGAGGTACCTTGATATGAGAGTTTTGGGAAAATTTGCTGTGATAATGGCGGATCCTCCTTGGGATATTCATATGGAACTTCCTTATGGTACTTTATCAGATGATGAAATGAGACAACTAGGGGTTCCTCAACTTCAAGATGATGGTTTAATATTTCTTTGGGTTACTGGAAGGGCTATGGAACTTGGTAGAGAATGTTTACAATTATGGGGTTATGAAAGAGTGGATGAATTAATTTGGGTTAAAACAAACCAACTACAAAGAATAATTAGAACAGGTAGAACAGGTCACTGGCTCAATCATGGAAAAGAGCACTGTTTAGTAGGGCTTAAAGGTAATCCTGAACATTTAAATAGAGGTTTAGATTGTGATGTTATAGTGGCAGAGGTTCGTGCAACTAGTCATAAACCAGATGAAATTTATGGAATCATTGAAAGGTTATCACCTGGAACGAGAAAAATTGAATTATTTGGGCGTCCCCACAATATACAGCCAAATTGGATAACTTTAGGAAATCAAGTTGATGGTGTTCGCCTTGTCGATCCGGAACTAATTGAAGCCTTTAAAAAAACATATCCCGATGGCAATTGTATGTTGCCACCAGTAAAATCATAAACTTTAATTTTAAATAATAATAACTTTTTAATTATAATTTTTTTTTTTTTACCATTACCCAAAAATATTATTGAATATGCAAAATTGCTCAATGTCCTGTCTGTATATTTTTATCTATGTAAAAGGTACAATAGTATAGATGTGAATCATGTGTTCTCAATATAATTTTTATTATTTTTTTTAATAATTATCATTGTAATAGGTGCTCTTTTTCATTACAGTTTTCACTTGAAATAATTGTAAACATTAGTATATTTTGAAATTTACTAAATTTTCATACAATAAGACCAGATTTTCAAAAATTAAAAATTTTTTTTTTTGTATTTTAAAATGTTTGTTAAATAAAAAAAACGAATAAAATTTATTTTTAAATTAAGAGGAAAAAAAAATTTATATAAATAAAATAATGTATAAAATTAAAATCATAAAAAAATTTAGTATTTTATTTCTTTATTACTTGTATTACATCTTCATCATGCATAATATGGTGAAGTCCTACACGTTGAGGAGAATATTTGGTGCTTGTTCCCTAAAGGCAAAAAAAAAAAAAAAATGTTAAATACAACTTTAAAAATCCACCTTTTTCCTGTTTTTAAAAGCATCATTAATAAGAAAAATAATTTTTGGTTTCGTTTTTAATTCATTCCTACCTACTTTTATAGATAAATATGGTTTCATTTTCACTTACCCAAACTAAGGCATATTTAAAGGCTGCAGCTAATGTTCTGTGTATACCATGGCAAACATGTTCTACTGTCACTCCCTTTCGTAATATTAAACTATCTTCAAAATCAGGAGGCTGTCCAGGTTTTTTAGTATAAACTCTAATAAGAGCTAAATATTCCCATAACTGCTCCAATAAGTAATCTAAATTTAACTTCATATTGCAACTGTAATGAAATTTTATTAAAGCAGTAATTTACATAATGTACAAGAAAGAAAAGTTTATTTTTTGTGTAATATCATGGTAGCACAGCATTCAATACCTAATTTTGAGGTAAAAAATAATTATTTGACCTTTGGAGTAATTTACAGAAAACAAATATGTGAACGAAAATAAAAACATATTTGTAATATATATGAATATGAAATTTATGTAAATGTAAATGAGGTATACAATGAATCTAAATAAATAAAGCTAAATAACTAAATTTAAGAATGTTCATACCTAACGACGACACTGTGTGGTTGCCTTGCAATCCTGTCGACTTCTTCAATGGAAACTTGATCAATTTTATTATAACAATATAAACAGGGTATATAAACACGATTAGAACAAATAACATCAATCAATTCATCAGCAGTACAGTCTTCTCTAAATAAAACTTCTGCATTAAAAATTTTATATTCATGAAGAATCATTTGCACCAATTTTTCATCCACTTTGGTTAAAGGACATGTAGCATTAAATGATAAACCACCACTTTTTTTTATTTTAAAATAAATATTGGGTTTTTTCTTATTAAGTCTAATGCCCACTGATTCCAATTCTTTTTCTAATAAAACTCTTTGAACATCTTGTTTTGTGGCATCTAACATCATTAGTACCAGGTCTGCAGTTCGAGCAACAGCAATGACTTGTCTGCCTCGTCCTTTACCCTAAAACATACATTTACTTTTAAGCATCTCTTTAAAAGTTTTTATATCTTTGAAAAATGAAAACTGTTATTTACTTGTGAAGCTCCTTCAATTATACCAGGCAAATCCAATAACTGTATATTTGCTCCTTTATATTGAATAACTCCAGGTATACACGTTAAAGTAGTGAATTCATAACTGGCTGCTTCAGATTCAGTGGCAGTCAAAATACTCAAAAGTGTACTTTTACCAACCGATGGAAAACCAATTAATGCCACTCTGGCATCCCCTGATTTTAATACATCAAACCCTTCTCCTTTTTCTGATTTTTTGGAAGGTTCAAGAAGTTGAGACCTGTATTTGGCTAATTTAGCTTTTAACAGGCCTAAGTGATATTCCGTAGCTGAATAAAAAGTTTAATAATTTGAATAAAAATTTTGTTTAACGATCATAGAATTATAAATATGAAAAAAAAAAGGAAAATTATTTTAATATTTAAACCTTTATTTTTTTGAGTCCTAGTGATTTCTTTTTCGATTTCAGATATTTTTTCCAAAATCCCCATTTTACTGCTAAAATATATAGCTATAAAATGTCTAATTACACGTTAAAACTTTCAAAATAAGTTTCCGTATATTTTATTTGTAGAACACTTTAATATTTTAATTAATTGTTTAAAACCAATTATTATTTTTAAAGTTTTGTCTATTTCATGCCATTATAGTTTCCCCCCCCCCATTTTAAATAGTAAATATTAGTAAAATAATTAAAAGTATAAACTTTTCAAATTATTTTATAACTATTCATTAAGTATTATTTATATGGTTTGTAGAAGTGTAACTTTCCTTTTTCGAAATTATCTGAAATATATTATAAGTTCCAAAATTTTAAGGTTTTTAAAGTCCTATATGCATATTTAAAAATTTTTCAATAAGACCATAAACTGGGTAAATTATACAAACTATAGAAACTTCTGTTATTTTTATCTATTTATTTGATTAACGAATATTTATTACATAACGATTAAACAACATTTTATTTTCAAAATGATGCCAATGTACAATTCATCAATTTGTGATGATTTTCAAAAGTCTAAGGTGAGATATATATTTTTATCCGTTTACAAATACTGGAAATAAATAAAAGTATTTTAATTTTGTATAATTTTTAGTTTGCTATGGTGGACCTTAGAAGTGACACTGTATCTAAACCCACAAAAGAAATGCGAATGGCAATGTTTGAAGCAGAAGTAGGAGATGATGTGTACGGTGAAGATCCCACAGTTAATAAACTTGAAAAATTAGCTTCTGAAATGTTTGAAAAAGAAGCTGCCTTATTTGTTCCTACAGGTACAATGGGCAATTTAATTGCAAGTAAGTTTTAGACACATTTAAAATTATTAAAAAATTATCAGTAAAATACTTTATAATTATAATCATTTATGTAAAATTTTACACGATAAAGTTCATTTTAAATTTTTTTACAAAATTGGAAAGTTATTTTGCCATAAAATAATTTTTAAGTTTTAGCTCATTGTGATAAAAGAGGATGTGAAATTATTATGGGAGACCAAAGTCACACTTTTTTATATGAACAAGGTGGTCCTGCCCAGGTTAAGAATTTTGTAAAATTTTTTTTAGTAAAAAATTATATATTTAGTAATTTTTAAAAATTTGTTACAGATAGGAGGAGTTCATACAAGAACTCTACCCAACCTGTGTGACGGAACTTTTTCATTAGAATTATTGGAACAATGTATTAGAGGAGATGATGTTCATTCTCCGATTACAGGTTTGATTGTAGCTGAAAACACTCATAATATGTGTGGGGGAAAAGTTGTACCTATGGATTGGCTTGAAAAAGTTGAGCATAATTTTCTCTGCAGTTTTATGTTTTTTTGTAATTTTAAAATATTTTATCTTTTTTATTAATTTAAATTAAATTTTATTTTTAGTTGGCCAATATAAGTAAAAAATACAGTATACCTTTACATATGGATGGTGCCAGAATATTTAATGCAGCTGTGTATTTGAATTTACCTGTATCAAAAATTACAGAAAAATTTGATTCAGTTCAATTTTGCTTTAGTAAAGGTTTAGGAGCTCCAGTCGGCTCAATGTTGGTGGGCAGTAAAAATCTTATTTACAAGTTGGTATTAAAACAAATTTTTTGGCTAAAAGAGCCCCAAAATTTATAACATTTGTCTTGTTTCATATCAAAATTTCATGCACAGAGCAAGAAGATTAAGGAAAGTTTTGGGAGCAGGTATGAGGCAAGCAGGAGTTATCGCAGCACCCTGTTTAATAGCTTTAAATTCAATGATCAACAGATTGGTTGATGATCATAAAAGAACAAAAGAAATAGCAGAAGGTAAAATTTTTTAAATATAATTTTTAAAAAATTCAATTATAAATTTCAATTTAATTTGCAGCCATTGATAACTTGAACTGCGAATTTATGGAAGTTGATTCGAAAAATGTACAAACTAACATTTTGATGATTAAATTTAATTCGAAAAAGATGACTGCTCCTCAATTCTGTGATAGAATGGCCAAAGTAAATAACATAATTTTTAGTTAACGTTTATGATAATTAGTGTTAACGAAGAAAAACTTATTAAATACATTTCAGGTGACCGATGACGAAGAAAATGAACTAAAGGAAGATTGCATTTTAGTTAAATTATATCCAAAGAACGTAGAAGTAGCAAGAATAGTTTTATATTACGAAATCACCGATAAAGATATTGAAAAAATAATAAAAAAGTTAATTTACATTACACAAGAAAGAAATAATCAAATAGAAAAATGATTAGTTTTATGTATTTTAAGATCTCAATCCTCATAATTTTAATGAGGCAATTAAAACATTAATTTTTGCAATTTATAACATTGCCATCAAAGACGTACAATTTTACGAATCAAGATGGCAGCCTTAAAAATAAAGCCTTTATGCAAGCCTACTACATATTGAAATTTTTAGTGTGAAATTCTAATGCCACTTAGTTCAATGAAAAATAATATATATATATATAATAATAGTTTGTATTAGTTAAATCAATTTAAGTATAATAAAATATTTATTGTTGTAAAAAAAATTCAACATTACGCACTTTTTATTAACCTTTATCACCAAAATATGTGTAGAGCACAATGAAAAAAAAAAAAAAAACACCAACAATAAATTTTTAAAGTAAACTATTTAATAATTGAATATTTAATACATATAATTATAATATGTATTCATAAAATAGAAGTGAAACTGAAATGTTTACTTTTTCACTCCAAATATGATTCAGGAATAGCGCTTCCTAAAGAGAGAGAGAGAAAAAAAAACAGTTAGTTTAAAAAACTAAGAAGTAAGAATAGGTTTCTATGTCAAAAAAAAAATAAAAAATTTATTTACTCGAATCATCATCTTCATCTTCATCTCCTTCAGAATCAAATGTATTATCGGGAATATCGTATAATCGAATCATTGGCTTGTTGGGATCTTTCATAATTAAATATTTCCCTTCTTTTTGCTTCATGCAAATATCAATAATGCAACGCAAAATACCCCAAGCATTATCCATATTCAAATTTATTTGAGTTGCAAATTCGTTAGGTTTGTATTGCTGAGTTCCCAAGATTACATGTTTAGATGAATCCCTGACATGAGCTCGCGAAACATAACTATAAAAATTGAAAATTTATTCCATTATCAAAATTAGCAAACAAGTTTAATTAAAAAATTTTTAGATTGTAAAATTACCCAAATTTAATTTGATCAGAGCCAGCGAGTAATGCTTGAACTGTCCATTTTGCTAACTTGCATGCATTGTTACGAAGTTCATTTGCCAAAACAGCTCCCCGTTGTGTGTCCAACTTTTGCCTCCACTCAACTCCACCGGATAACTAAAATATTAAATAAATTTAAAATTGAGCCTTTGAAAATAAATTTCAATTTTAATAATTACCTTCGAGTCCCATTCATTCAAGGCCTTTATTGTAAGAAATTGAATATCTCCATTGGGCATTTGCATAACGGCATCATGTTCGCAACGTGCTATCAAAACGATTCCATTATCTAAATCCCATTTTCGATATCTGTAAGCAACAGAAGCCACTTCACCCTCTTCTTCTTCCGAAATAAATGGATTTTTTTCCTCAAAATTGTACCGAGGTTCACCCTAAAATAATAATTCATTTAATTTATTTCAAGATTAAAAATTTATTTTAGGTAAACAAAAACTTGTAAGAATTTTTTGAAATACTTACTGTTTTAAGCACTTGTTGAGAAAAATTATGGTTAATAAAAGTTGCTTCTAATGCTAAATTCCTAGGAGAGTTGAAGCTGTTACCATCATCTTGAGGTGGTTCAACACTTGTTTCATTAACAGTGAGTAAATCAAATTCAGTATTGTCTCTTTTATCAAAAAAAAGCTTATGCCCTATAATAAATGACAATTGGTAAAGAATTGAAGTGCTATTTCTAAATTATTCAATTATTATTATTATCTTACCAATTTTTTCAATAACAATGTCCCAAGAATAATTAGAACGTGTAGAGCACATAATGGCTGCCAATATGGCATCAGTGGCATACACATTTCCTTCAGTTTTTGACAATTTACGAATTATCGGATCATCAGTAGTAGTAACAGTATGAAATATTCTATCAATACGCTGCAAAGGCTTTTCATTTTTGACATTCACTCTATCATAGGCTTTATCATAATATTCAAGAGATCCACAGCACATTCTAAGTTTTAAAAAAGAATTTTATATAAAAACAATATTTTACTATTGTTTACTTAAAAAAAAAATTACTAACATGTCAACTCCTTCCTTAACATTTGGCAAAGAAAGTTTGGCTAAACGTGGAAAATCCATTTCTTCAATAGTCACCCAATCAGCTCGCACTGTAACAGATGCATCTCTGTTTTTAATTGGAGGCTGATTTTTTTGGTTTCTTAAACCTGGTTGACGACTCCATTTTTTTTGCTGAACTTTTCTTCAAAGAGAAAAAGAAAAAAAAAAAAAACATAAGTGATATTCGATAACTTAAAATCATTTAAAATGTAAAAATTAAAAACTTACTTGTCACGCAATTTTGGGCCTTTGGTCAAAAGTTGCAATTGAGAAGTAGTTCCTCTTTGACCACCACGACCTCTAAGGTTAGGACGATTTTGTTTAAATCTACCCCTCTGATAAGGTGGTTTTTGCACCCTTGTAGTATCCACAAGATGAAATGTTGATTCATCTTCTTCATGATAGTAAGCATATTGACTACCAGCACCAAATTGCGACTGATATTTGTCTGTAAAAAAAAAAAAAAAATTTAGTGATAAAAATTATAATGGCTACAAATCATAGTGTTTTTATATATAAACTTACTGATGTATTTTTTATCTTGAAAAGCAGTTCCAGCCCAGTCAGATATCTAAAAATATGAAAGTTTAAAAAAGTTTAAAATAATACACATTTTAAATCTTAAGCAAGATTAACTGAACTCAAAATACAAAACATTTTAACGTCACATATTTTAATTCTTTTTAAATTTAAAATATAAATAATAAAACTTTACAAAACAACGGATTGATTTTCAATAATTTTAAAAGCTAAAACCATTTATTCATATAATAAAAAAATTTTGAACCACGTTGCAATAAACTATACTATTCATTTACACTTGCCTTGCCTAATCGATCTCCTTTTGAAAACGGCTGGTACGGCATGTCTTTAAATTGCTCTGGCATGTCACACGGTCCCCAGCCATTTACATTGTCTTGAATAACAGGAGCCACAAATTTGGGAACACTTTTCTGTTCATCATCACCCATGGCCATTTTAATAATTAAATAATTTTAATAATAAAAAAGAAATAATACACCGAGAAGCATTTATTCACTGCCAGGAGTAATTATATTGTAACTAACTATGACTAGGGAAATATGTCGCCAGATTAAAAAATAATTCAAGATTTCTTACATTTTATAGAATGCCAATAAAAATTTTAAAAACTTTTCAAAGATACAAAAATCAAATAAAATTGTTATCTCATTTTTCTTTTATAAATCGAATAATCTGTAAATAAATTTATGCAATTAGTTTTAAGAATGTCATTATTTAAAAATTATTTAAATTAAACAAACGTGAAAATAGATATTAATTATTTTCGAACAACTTCAAAAATTAAATTGTAAATTAAACGAAAAAATAAATAAATATTTAATTATATTGATTAGAAACAAAAAATAAAAAAAAAAATTAGTAAAAGTTTTAGTTTTAGTTTCTGTTCCTTCAAAAAAAAATTTAAAAAGCACAGTTGGACAATTGAGTATTTTAAAAAAAAAAAAAAAATTATTTTTTTTAAGAACCAGAGGAAAATGATGTTTAAAAAAAAAAAAAAAAAAAAAGAAAATAACCTGAGAATAAAACAAGAAAAAACTTATAATAAAACAATACAATTACTGGAAAATAACATATATAAAAATTTCTAACTTAAAAATAAAATATCATTATAAAGTAAAAATATAAACATATGTAACGATTAAAAAAAAAATGTATTAATGGCTTTGACTAATAGACAAAATACTTAGAAAGCAATCAATCATGACGATATATATGTACAAAAAACAATGATTTTGTTAACTTAACAATTAATTAAGGACAAAATAAATTTTCCATTTAAATTTTAAATATTGCTATTGAAAAATTAATACATTTGAAGTTATCATCAAATCAAAATGACATTTATTTTAAAATAAAAAAAAAAAAATACTGATTGATAAAATAAGTAAGTGAATACTAAGTAAAGTAAAAAAAAAAGTAATTTTTATAATGATATTTAATAAAAAATAATAATAAATGATAGAATTATTTATTTACAAATTAAATCTTATACTGAAATTATTGCCTTCTTAAACACATTTTAATTACCTTACTTTATTAATAAAAAAAAACTTAATAAAAACTTATTTAAAATGTTTATTTAATTATGATGTTTGTTTAATAAATATGATTTTTTTAATTTTTAATGATCGATATTATTAGCAATGTACCTTAAAAAATTCTTGGTAATTAATAAAAAAATTACATTGATGTGACTTTAAGCATGTTGTTTCCCTTTTTATTAAAATTTTCATAATGAAATCCAACAATCCTAAATTTTTAAAATTTTGGCACTAATAAAATAAGTTCGACATGATCATTATGAATAATAAAATGATATTAAAGCTCTTAAGTAAATCGATAACAAAAAAATTTACTCTCATACTTAAGTAGCTTAAAAAAGAAAAAAATGAAAATATTATTTTTAAAATTAATAACAATTTTTTTTTTTTTTTTTTTTTTTTTGCATTACAAAAATTAGTTTGTAAAAATATTTTAAATGTGATGCATAATTGTTCTTTTCTAAATAATAATTTGTAACAGTCCACTTTTAGAGAGAGAGAGAAAAAAAAAAAGATACATTATAAAACACATATATAAGCGACAAAAAAAAAAAAAAAAAAAAAACCTAAATAAAATTACAAAATCAGTCCTCTGGTTCTTTAAAACAATTTTCTCGACTGAAAATATAATGCTTACTTGTTTTTAATAAAAAAAAATTATTATATAAAAGGCAATTTATTTAAAAACCACATTTTTCTCAAGATCCAATAACAACTTACATAAATTTTTTTTAAATTTTTTAAATTTATTCAGGTAAGTGTATTAGGAATGCATTAAAAAATTCTTCCCGTTATTAAAAAATTTTTTTCTGAATTTATTATAATTCATAAATCTTAATTTACCATCTCTGATCAGTCCTGTTTAAATAATTTACAATATTATTGCAATCTTATATGTGGTTTTTCAACAAAAAAAAAAAAAAAAAAAAAGTACTATACCCTTTTTTAAAACCGATCAATATTAAATATATTTTATTTTATAACTACGTATGTAATATATATTTTCAGTCAATAAGAAAAATTGTTTGATTTCAAAACAAAAACCATTCACGAAGATCAGATTTTTTTAAATAAAATAATAAAAGTGAGTGCCTTAAGAATGATATGGTGTGACATATGTGGCAGGAAACAAGCCTTTTCTACTACCAATTTCTCCATGCCACCAATGTTGATCAGTACGGTCGGTTACGGTTATAACATCTCCTCTTCTAAAATCAAGTTCTCCAGCTTCTTGAGGAGTAAAATCATAAACTGCTTGCACAAGGCACTAAAAATAAATTCATTATGTGAAAATTACTAGAGTTTTATTTATGCAGCAAATTTTTTACTTTATTTTTCAATGGTTTGTTTAAATTTAAAAAAAAAAAAAAAAAAAATCAATAAACTTTATAATTAGCCATTCTGAAAAAAAGTCACTTGCCTCATCCGGGACCATATCTCTCAATTTAACATGTTGTGATCTTGAAACTGATGATGTTCTATGATATTCTACCAATTCATTTAAAGAACTGAATTTAACCACCCATAAAAAAAATTTCCCTTGAGCATCTCTTAAAACTTTGAAATGCTGTACACCATCAGAACACTTTACAGACAGTGAAAAATCGCCAGGCGAACTTTCAGACACTCTTATTAAAAATGCACCTTCGTGTTTGTTCATTAAAAGTTTTTCAGCATCCGCTCTAGTAATTCTTCCATAATACCAACTGTACGAATAAAAATTTAACTCCATTATTTAACGAAACAAAACAAAAGCCGTAGAAACAATTGTGAATAAATACAATAATACTGTGTGCTTTTTTAAAAAAAAAAATTAAAAAATGGCAGTTAAACAAAGCTTTGACTAAAGTTATGGTATAATTTTAAGGACACTGAATTGTAATAAATAAAAATTTCAGTTTAAATTATGTTTGTAACATAAATTGAAAAATAATTGCTATACTTACTCGTGATTTTTCATTTCTATATAATTACTTGGTATTAATCCTTCTTTGCTATCTAATTCTGCTCTATACCAATTCATATCATCTTCCATATTTAAAACCTTAAAAAATAAAATTTTTATTTTACAAAAATAAATTTTTAAAATTAAATTTTTTTATTTTACTATGCTAAACTACTACTCTATGCACAATTTTAAATTATATTTCTTACATATAAATCTGGTTAAAAACTTTTTTAAAATTTCAAATTAACAATAAATACAATCATTACAATTTTATCAAGTAAAATGAACTTGTTTACTGTATAAGTTTCTAAGGAAATTTTTTCTGATTTAAAATTTTTATAATTTGAGATTAAAATTATATGAAATTATATTATTTAGAAAAAAAAATAGAAAGAAATATTTTATTAAATTTTTTAAAAATCAATTAAAATTTTTTAATTGTAATGAACAGGCAAAAACATAAACATTCTATGAAAAAATTACTCATAAAATAATTATTTCTAAGCAACACCTTTAAACCATATGAATAATATCAATGTTGCCTTTGTGCTTTTGTACAGTTAATTATGTTTAAAGTATCTAACCTTTAGAACTTGTGTTTTCCTAAAACTAAGTTCATCCTCAGCAGTAGCATTAAAATCGTGTTTTGCTATTGCTTCCATAACTGAAATACTTGTAAAAATGTAAAAAAAAAAAAATATTTAATAACAAAATTTCAACACTCCCCAATGCAAAATTTGATATGTGCTACCAACTGTTGCTAGGTGTAAAATTATAACAATGGCCAACTTTGTAGGAATATTTAATTTAAATTCTCTTGAACGAAATGTTTTTACAAATAATATTTTTTTAAAAATTTCAATAAAGTTATGTATTTATTAACACGAATTTCATTTGTTTAATGTTTCTGTTAAAATTTATTCAATAATTTAAAAAAAAAAAAAATTTTTTCACGGTTTTTAATTTTACTTTTAATAATATCCTCTATGATTTTAATAATAAAAGTTAAGCATATTAAAAATTTAAAATAAATCTTTCTGAATTTTTTTAACAATTTAAAAAATTGTCACATATGATGATGTTGTATTTATACATTTAAATTATACATTTACACAAATAAAACGCTTATTTTTAAAAAATTCGATTTTAAATTATAAATTGTCTGTTAATTCACAGATAACAAAACGATTCTCCGTGTATATTATAGTTTTTATGAGTTTTAAATTTTATTAAATACTAAGTAATGGAAAATTAACCGAAAAAAAATAAAATAAAAAATGCCATCAGCAGTTCCACCTTCTCTTCTCAGTTCAAATTCTGACTCACAAGAGTTTTTTAATAAGAGACTTGATTATTCTAAACTTATAGCCACCTATATAATGTCGGTTCTGGCCGCAAGTATAGCAGAAATTGGTAAGCTCTAATAAATTGCACTTCGGTAATAAAAAATTATTCTTTTTTTTTTTTGGCATTCATTTTTTATTTAACTATTTAGTTACCTATCCTCTAGACCTCACCAAAACAAGGCTTCAAATTCAAGGGGAAAGAGCTGGTCATTTTGGAAAAAATGTAAATAAAATTAGATTAATTTCATGTGGTGTTTAATTTCAATGACAATTTTCATTATTTTAAAATTATGTTAATATTATTAAATCTTTTTGTCTGATTGATGTACTAAAAAATTTTTAAATTTAATTAAATATAACTAATTGTGAATGAATTTAAATGATTTTATTTAAGGTAGTTCGCAGAGGCATGTTACACACTGCCATTGGAATTGTACACGAGGAGGGATTATTAAAATTATGGAATGGTATCACTCCTGCTCTTTACAGACATGTTATATACTCAGGTACTTGAAATTATTTTTAAATTAATTAAGCTTTTTTTTTTTTTTTATCATGATGTAAAGAATTTTTTTTTTTATAATGAAACAGGCATTTTTAAAATTAATGAAATACTCGATTTTTAGGAGTTAGAATAGTAAGTTATGAGACACTTAGAGATAAAATTCTTGATAAAGATCCAGATAGAAAATTTTCTTTATGGAAATCTGCTGTTACTGGAGCTGCTTCTGGAGCTTTTGCACAGTTTCTAGCCAATCCCACAGATTTAGTAAAAGTACAAATTCAAATGGAAGGAAAAAGAAAATTACTAGGTTTAGAACCTAGGTTAGAATTTATTTGTTACGAATAACATCTTGTATGAAAAATTAATAAAATATAATTCATTTTTATATTTTTATCTAACTAAAAGTCAGTGCTTAATAAATAAAAAAATAATAAGTGATTATAAAATTTTTCGTTTTTATGTCAATTTTTTTTAGAGTTCACAGTACATATCATGCTTTTAAAAAAATTTTAAAAGAAAATGGCATCAGAGGTCTTTGGAAAGGTTCTATTCCCAACATTCAAAGAGCTGCCTTAGTAAATTTAGGGGATTTAACAACTTATGACACTGCAAAACAATTTATTTTAAAAAACACATCATTAACCGATAATCATTGTACTCATGTTTTATCTAGGTATTTCCCATGTGTTTTCCTTTAAAATGCCTGCAAAAAAAAAATGTTTTTACTTATTATATATTTAATTTATCAAAAAAATTTTTTTAGTGCTTGTGCTGGTTTAGTAGCTGCAACAGTGGGAACTCCTGCTGATGTCGTAAAAACTAGAATAATGAATCAGCCTACAGATAAAAATGGAAGGTAAAACACAAACAATCTAAGTAGGCTTGGTGAAAAACCTTAAAAAATTAAAATTTAAATGTTTTTATTTTTTTTTTTCATTCCAGAGGTTTATTGTATAAATCTTCTTTAGATTGTTTAAAAAAAACAATTCAAGATGAAGGTATATTAGCAATTTATAAGGGATTTTTACCAATTTGGATAAGAATGGCTCCTTGGTCTTTGACATTTTGGCTTTCTTTTGAACAAATTCGACATACAATGGGAGTAAGAGCTTTTTAGTCCCAAAAAAAAAAAAAAATTCTAAACAAAAATAGAAGAACAGTATTATTTTATAATGCAGAAATATTTGTGCTTAATGTAGTTTTTGTAAAGATATATATATATATATATCTAGTAAAAATTGTGCTCACAATAGAAATGTAGTAATTATTTAGTAAATAGTGATGGTATAGTACAAGATGAGTAAAAATTATTAGTTTGATTTTTTTTTTTGTTAACAAGCTTATGAAATTTAAAAATATTATGCCAATACAATCATTATGTAAATTTAATATTTACAAAAGGGAAATTAATTTTAATACTTGCTAAAGTACCTGAAAACATGAAAAAAAAATAAAAATTAAAATTTTTTTTAGTGCTATTCAATATTTACTTCAATTATATGGAAGTAGAAATTTTATAAATTTTTTTTTTTTTTTTTTGGGAAATAGGTCTACAATATATTTTCAGTTATTATATAAAAAGAAAAATGAATATCGATGAATATTCAAACATTGTTGTTAAATTTTTATTTTTTTTTAAATTATTTAAAAATTTTATACCGAATTAATACTTGATACTAATTAGTATTAATTATAATACCTTATTGTAAAATACTAATGCTTATTTGTATAAAAAATTTGATATATATATATTTTAAGGTACATAAGTTAAATTTAAAATTTAATTTTAAAAATTTGATGAACTGTGATATATAATTTAAATTTTTTTATGCTTAGACAATGTTGTTAACCAATTAAAAAATATTTTAAATTAAAACTACAATATTATAATGTGACAATATAAAACATATAAATAAATAAGCATAAGTATTTATAAAGAAAAATAAATGTGTTGTAAAATTTGACATGAAAAAAAGCCAAAATTTATCAATTTAATAAAGTAAATTGTTCCTCAACTTTGTATTTATTAAATGAAATTAATTTAGATAACATGTTAGTTTATAAATTGTTAAGTTTGATTTTTTTAATAAATAAAAAATTTTAATGAATAATAATAATAATAATAAAAGGATACTTAAAAACTGAATAATAATCTACTACTTTAATTAAAAATTAACAAAATATTCCTTTAAAATTTTGTAATATATATTATTTGAATTCAAAGTACGAAAAGTATTTGACTTTTTATAACTTTTCTAATTTTCATTCAAGTAAATAAAGTTAACTATTTAAAATTTAATAAAGTTAAATAAAGTACATTAACTATTTAATTTTTTAGGAATCAAAAATTTGTATTTAAAATAAAAAACATGAAAAATTTCTAGAAATTTAAATTTTATAATCCCGTCATAGAATATAAATTGTATAGGAATAAATTGACAACGAAATCTTTGTAAATGACTTATTTATGAAAAAGTACCTTGTGTAAAATACATGTTGTGTAAAAATAAAGTCACTTTAAAAAAAAACTAAAACAGTAATAATTTTAGTGAACATTCGATTGATCAAATAATCGATATTAACTATAATTCATAAACTTGGTAATACCGAAAGCGCGGTTTTACATTTTTATAGTTTTATTTTGATTGGTTGTATTTTAAAAATATTTGAAATTTAACAAACTGCAAATTGTTAAATACAAATTTCCCTTAGTCATTTTAGAATGCCTACTTAGCTTATGTTTCATTTATTTTTAAAAACTATGTTGTACGAATAAAATTTCCCCCTTATTTTTCAAGCAAAAATCTGATCACGTGACACACAGTAATCAAAAATGGCTTCCGCGAGAGACACGGCTACGTTTTTTACAGAAGGTTCCGCGTCTCAGTTTCAGTATGTTTTGAGTTTGTATCCCCAAGCATTAAGACTAAAAGCAGAAAGAAAGACAAGGAAGCCAGAAGAGCTTATAAAATTGGATAATTGGTAAGTTTTAATGTCTAATTTTTATTTTAAAAAGAGGTCTGGAATGTCGTTGACCCTGGCTTTTGTTAGTACTGACATCCACTTCGTCGACCTGATTTACGGGTATTTCTATATAAAATTTATACAATTTATCTATATAACAGAAGAAAGTAGTGCGAACTACCTAAAGAAACTATTATTTTCCACCTTACTACCCTTTTTTACAGAAAATTGTCGTATTTAAATGCTAATGTACGTGTACGCGTCCTTACTTAAAATGGCGTCAGTGAGGTGATTTTCTTCGAATTGCTAGTAACTTACACTTTTAAACCAAATAAAGAATTGTACTTTTCTTTAAAGAAAAGTAATTACACTTTTACTTATCGAATTATTGAGTTTTTAAAACTGAAAAAAACTAATAATCTCTTTTATATCCTTTACCTTAACAGAATGCGCTTCTTGTTTTAAGCTAAATGTTTAATCCATCAAATAATCAAAAAAAAATAAAAAATGCTTTTAGTATTACTTAAGCTCAAATTGTGGATTTTTATGTGCGATAGCATTTAATTTATTGAAATTTTTTAAAATTTACATTAAAATTTAATAATAATGCTGAATTTTTTTAGTTTACCATTAAATACTCATCACTTTGCATTTTGTTAAGTAATTTTGTTAGTAATTAAAAATAAATTTTTTTCTACTAATTCATAGTCGAAATTGTTTGTTTTTAAATTTTTCGACTTATTAATACTGTTCAAATCCAAAAGGTATATAGCATTTGCCTTATTGCAAATTTTTTTTCGCTTATGTTTCGCTTATGTTTTTCTTATGGACTTAATAGTTAATTTGATCGATATTAGTACACATGCAGACATGAATACACATATAAAGTTTGTAAGTGAATTTCAAAAAAAAAATAAAAAATAAAATAAAGAAATAGATCAGTATTTCAAAATTAAAATAATAAATTTTATTAATATATATTAGTACCAACTCATTAAAATGAAAAGTTTTATGTATGGAATGTAATCTGATTTTAAGGTACCAAAATGAGCTCCCGATGAAAATAAAGCAAAGAGGAAAAGATGCTCATTTAAATCATGAAGAATTAGTTCAACTTATGAAATGGAAGCAGTGTGTAAGTTTAATTTCTTTTCAAGCTATTACACCTCTTGATAATTAATGAGTAATTATTTTAGTTATACATTTATTTAATTTAAAATTTTAGAGAGGAAAGGCTTATCCTCAATTAAATTATTTAGTCAAAGTGAACACTCCAAGAGCAGTTATGGCCGAAACAAAAAAAGCATTTCGAAAATTGCCTAATTTGGAACAAGCTATAACAGCATTAAGTAACTTAAAAGGAGTCGGAACAACTATGGCTTCAGGTAAATTTTTTTAAAAAATTTTGCGGTATTATTCTACCTAATGCTTTGTTAAATTTTTTTGACTCAAAAAAAAAAAAACAACAATGTTTAAATTTTACCTACAGCATTATTAGCTGCTGCTGCTCCAGAAACAGCTCCTTTCATGGCTGATGAATGCTTAATGGCCATCCCGGAAATTGAAGGGATAGATTACACGACTAAAGAATATCTCAATTTTGTGCAACATATTCAGTCTACAGCAGAAAGATTAAATAAAGAATGTTGGTATCTTTTAAAATTTTGCATTATTATTTGGTAGTAGCTTTAATATTAAATTTTACAGTATGATAATTAAAAATGAATATTTATTAATTTAAGCAAACAATGGACACGGCACTTGGAATCCACATCAAGTTGAACTGGCATTGTGGACACATTTCGTAGCTAATGAACTTGATCCTGACTTACTTAATGCCATTCCTTCAGCCAATGGCAAATCTAGTGTTACACACCAAAATGGAGAAGTTAAAAATGCATCCAATGTTAGTACGATAAATATGTGATACGTTTAAAAAACTGAGTGTCACGGTTCACGGGGGTTTTTTTTTTCTAAATTTTGGACCTCATTTTATTGTTTTCAGAATGAAAATGATCACTCTGATAATGAAAGTTCCATAGAAGCCGGAAAAGTTAGTGGAGATCCTCCTCCTGCTGATATATCTGAAGATACGGCCACATCTTTTGGGGGAGAAGACGATTCTCCTTTACCCCCTTCAGAAACAGCCACTAGAGTAATTTAAATTTTTTTTTTTTTTTTGAAGATTTCTTACAACGCGCAATTCGAAAAAAACAAAAGTTTTAAATAATAATTTTTTTTTGTCAAATTTAGAATGAAGAAGAAACAAACGACTCTTTAGCGAGTGGTACATCCGCTACAAATGATTCGACAACAAACGATGCTGATGCAACGGATCAACGGCAAACAGATGAAGAAAGTCAAGATCCACCGCCTGCTAAGAAATCACGAGTTGTTGAAGCCGGCGAAAAATGATTATAAAAAAAAAAAAAAAAATATTTTTTTTTCGTAAGAAAAACAAAACTATCGTCTTTTTACTGTAAATGTGTTCTTTACTTTTTTTTTTTTTATTTTTAATTATTTTTTTTAAAAAAAAAAAAAAAAAAAAAAATACCGATTCAGAGTGATGATGATGATGATGATGATGATGATGATTTTATGTACTGGGCCTATTTGTGTCGGTTTGCTTTGGTCACATTCCGCTTCGTTGTAAATTAGTTTCAATGGCCCACACAATTAAGATCTCTCTGCTTTCTTTTAATTTTTTGTCTTAAAAAAAAAAAAAAAAAAAACAAAAAAACAAACAAAAACAAAAAAAAAAAATTAATTAAATTATTATTAATAATTTTGTTAAGTAGTCGGGTAAAGTTTCACACGTTTTTCAACAACAATAACAAAATAGTGGGCTATCCAGTGGTTTTATCAGGAGGCAATTTTTTTTTTTTTTTAAATTTGGGGATTTAAAGCGGTCTAATAATATGCATTTAAAAAGTTTTTACTATCACGTCGTGTCGTTTAATAATTTAACTATTAAAAGGGTTGTTGTTAAAACTGCTTTTTATTTATTATTAATTATTATTCATTCGTTTCGATTAAATTTAAAAGATATTATTGCCTTTTTTTTTTTTTTTTTCTCCGAGTATATATAAACACGAAATTTTTTAATTTAACCAAGTGCTATTATTATCGCTATTATCATTTTGATTAAAAAATATTTAATTGATGATAATTTATAAAAAAAATTTTATTTATTACTCTCTCTTATTTAACCTCCGATTTAAAAAAAATTTAAATTCCTTTAGAAAATTTGTGACGTGAACATTAAAAAATTTATTATTATTATTTTAAATATTTTTTTTTTTTTATAACTAAAAAGGAAATTTTTCGTCAGTTTTCATATACCAAGGTACTTGTTATTAAACAATTCATTTAAAAAAATAATACAATGTGTTGTTATTATTATGCCGCACAATATTACGGGGGGGTTTTCTCTGCACATTTTCTATAAAAAAAAAAATTGTTTTCAAACGCAATTTAAATAAAGCCGACACAAAATGGCGCTGTGGTTTTTAATTTTTTTTTCTTTTTTTTTTTTTAAAAAAAAACAACAACAACAACAACGTGGGTTTACTTAAGTATTGCCATTTAGTAGTATCCAGGCTTTTTACACAGTTTTTCTTTTTTTTTTTTTTTCTTTTTTTCTTTTTTGACTTATGCTTAATTAAAGAGGGTTTCAAGACTATTTTTGTAAAAAAAAATTAGTTTAAAAAAAAAAAACTTTAAGAGAAAAAAGTTTAAAAAAATTTGCAACCTTAACAAAATTTAAATCCTTTTTTTTTTTGTACCTTTTTTTTTTT